ATAAGTCAGACAAAGACAAATACCATATGATTTCACTTACATGTGGAAACAAAAATAAAAACAAAAACAAAAAGCCCGAAGTCAAACTTATAAATACAAAGAACCAATGGTGGTAAACATTGATGGCTGTCAAAGGGGTGGAGTTCTGGGTAAGCAAAATAAGTGAAAGTGGTCAAAAGGTACAAACTTCCAGTTATAAAACAAATAAGTAATAGGTATATAATGTAGAGCATGGTGACTATAGTTAATACCATATTGTACATTTAGGTTTGGTTCTTTTTACCTTAAAAAATTTTTTATTTGTATATTTGTAAGTTGCTAAGACAGTAAATCTTAAAGGTTCTCATCACAAGAAAAAAACTTGTGTCGTGATGATTGTTAGCGACTTATTTTGGTGATCATTTTGCTATATATACAAATATTGAATCACTGTGTTGTATACCTGAAACAAACATAATGTTATATGTCAATTATGTATCAATTAAAAAATTCTGATTGTTCATTCCTGATGTATAGGAGAACCATTGACTCAAGTCATATGTTAACCTTGTGTACTACCACCTTCCTATGATCAATTTTTAGTTCCAGGAGCTTTTTTGTTGTTAATTCATTGAGATTCTTCTGTATAGATGATCATGTCATCTGTAAACAAAGAGTTTTACTTCTTTCTTTCCAATTTATATACCTTTATTTCTCTTTCTTAGCCTATTGCATTAGCTAGGACTTCCAGTGTGATGTTGAATAGGAGTGGTAAAATGGGATGGTTTTGTTTTGCTTCCTCTTTTAGGGGAAAGCATCTAGTTTCTCACCATTAAGTATTCTGTACATAAGCATTATGTAGAATTTATCCATTTCTTCTAGATTAGCCAGTGTGTTGGTATAAATAATTTGTAATAGCTTTTTCTTATAGTCTCCTTAATTTCTATGGCATCAAGGTGTAATATCCCTTCTTTAATTTCTGATTTTAGTGTTTTGAGCTTTTTCTCTTTTTTTCTTAGTCTAACTAAGAGCTTGCCAATTTTTTTATCTTTTCAAAAAACCAACTCTTAGTTTCATTGATTTTTTTCTATTGTTTTCTAGTCTCCATTTTGTTTACCTCGTTCTGATCTTTCCTATTGCTAGCTTTGGGTTTAGTTTGCCCTTCTTTTTCTGTTCCTTTAGGTGTAAAGCTAGTTTTTTTATTTGAGATCTTTCTTTTTTAATGTAGACATTTACAGCTATGCTTCTTGGCACTGATTTTACTGCATCCATAAGTTTTGTTACGTTTTATTTTCATTTTCACATGTCTCAAGATCGTTTCTAATCTCCCTTGTGATATCTCCTTTAACCCATTGGTTGTTTAAGAGGGTGTTGTTTAATTTCCACATATTGTGGATTTTCCAGTTTTTCCTGTACTATTGATTTCTAGTTTCATTCCATTATGACTGGAAAAGATAGTTGGTATAATTTCAATCTCCTTGAATTTGTCAAGACTTGTTTGGTGGCTTAGCTTCATAGTAGTATACCCATTTCTGCAATCTTTTGTCACTCCTCACATATTTTGATGCTCTGTTGTTAGATGCATTGATATTAAGGATTGTTATGTCTTCTTGAAGAGTTTACCATTATGTAATACCCCTTTTTAATCCCTGAAAATTTTCCTTGCTCTGAAGTCCACTCTGCCTGAAATTAATGTAGCTATTCCAACTTTCTTAGTATTAGCATAGTATGTTTT